GGCCACCAGCGAGCCACGGAGAGCCGCCGTGCCAGACGAGGGGATCGCGGACGGGTTTGGGGGCCCGGGCCCGGCCCCTCCTGCCCCCTTTGAGAAAATTAGGGTCCACCCGTGGCCAGCTTCCTCCGGCCACTTCTGTGGCCTTAAAAAAAAAAAAGAACCAGGAACGCCTCACGCCTGGCTGCTGCCTGAGCTCCCCGTTTGAAAGGTTGAGGGCGAAGGGTGTGATGCCCGCAGGGGCCAAGAGAACCCTCTGGCGCTCAGGCCCCTTGGCCCCCATCGGTCCCCGTGGCCGGCCGTAGGAGGCTGACCTGCCCTCTGCTGGATGCCAGCCTGCCTGCCTCCTCCTCGACCCGCCCTGCCCATCCGCTGGGGAAAAAAACAAGAACGACCCACCCTGTCTCCGAAGAGCTGCCCACGGGGCAGATCTGGTTGGCCGCCCCCCCCCGTCTGCCTGCCTGCCTGCCTGCCTGCCTGCCGCTTTCGAGGCTGCTTGCTGCCAACCTGTCGCACCTGCTCCCTCTCATCCCCTGGTTTTCGTGTTTGTGTTTGAGGGACCCCTGGGTTTCCTTGGAAGCTCGAGAGGGCTCCAGACGAGGAAGGTCAGACAGGGCGGTGGCAGGCATCCTGGAAGGCAGCTGGCCGGGGAGGCTGCCCGCCGCCGGCCCGGAGGAGAGATCCGGAGGGCGCCCTCCGCTCCTGCAGGATGGAACCCGACCATAGGGTCCGGCCGGCGGTGCCAGGGGAAAGCAAATCTCCCGCTCGACTCCACTGAGGCGGAGGCTTGCCAGTCCCAAGAGAGCATCCTTTTCAGAAGGTGTGTGTGTGGGGCTTTGNNNNAGGAAACAACCTTCCCCCCCCCCCGTTCCCTGATGGGATGGCCCTGGAGCCGAGAGGCCTCTGGCTACAAGCCCCATCTCTCCCCCAAGTGGCCCGCGAGGGGCCTTTGGTAGCCCCTCTTGTCACCGGCGGGAGCTCTAGGACAAAGGGTTCCTGGGGACATGGGGGGGGGCGCGAGGGTGGGAAGGAGCGCCTCAGGGAGGAAGGAGCAGAGAGAAGCTGAAGGGCGGGCGGCAAGCTCCTGGAAAAACGCCCGGGTCTTTCAAATAAATACTTGGGGCCGGCCCGAGGCTCCCTTAAAATAGAACAGGCTCCTTGGGGGCCCTCCTGCCCGTCAGCCCCTCTGGCTGGGGACTCACACCCGGTGGTCTGGAAAGAGGTGGTCGCTG